GATTTCTGCTACTCGACTGTGGTTACTCCCAAACTACTAGAAAATTTGGTGGTGGAAGACAGAACCATCTCCTTCACAGGCTGCATCATGCAGTTCTTCTTTGCGTGCATATTTGTGGTGACAGAGACATTCATGTTGGCAGTGATGGCCTATGACCGATTTGTGGCAGTCTGTAACCCTCTTCTCTACAGGGTTGCCATGTCCCAGAAGCTGTGTTACTTGTTAGTTGGTGCATCCTATTCTTGGGGGCTAGTCTGTTCCTTGACTCTTACTTACTTTTTACTGAAATTATCATTCCAAGGAAATAATATCATAAATAACTTTATTTGTGAGCATGCTGCCATTGTTGCTGTGTCACACTCAGACCCCTATATTAACCAGAAGATCATTTTAGTGTCTGCTACATTTAATGAAATAAGCAGTCTAGTGATCATTCTTGCTTCCTATGTTTTCATTTTTATCACAATCATGAAGATGCCTTCAACTGGGGGTCGCCACAAAGCTTTCTCCACATGTGCCTCTCATCTGACCGCCATTACCATTTTCCATGGGACCATTCTTTTTCTCTATTGTGTTCCAGTCACCAAAAGTTCATGGCTCATGGTTAAGGTTGCCTCTGTCTTCTATACAGTGGTCATCCCCATGTTGAACCCACTGATCTATAGTCTCAGGAACAAAGATGTGAAGGAGACAGTCAGGAAATTAATGAACACCAAATTATGTCACATACTGTAATGTCTCTTTAAGAATACCACGCAGGGACTGGGGATATAGCTCAGTTGGTAACCTGCCTGCCTCACATGCACAAGGCAATGGGTTCAATCCCCACCACCACAAAAAAAAAAAAAAAGTTTGTTAAAAAAATATATCATGATGTAGAATCGTCCAAGATATCATAGAATTATCATCAATTTGAAAGTTCAGTTTTCAAAAAGCAACCAGTACATGTTTAACATAATCACCAGTTGATCCATAATTCAATGCCTGTTTAAGTGGAATTTTGGACAATAAGCCATAAAATTCTAAAAAAATACAATAATAAGTCTTTATTTAAGTAAAATTTCTAATCTTGTTTGTCATGAAAAAAAATTTTAGTTAGCACTTTACTCTAAAATAGATCTTCTATTCTTTTTTAGTCATTTTTGAGAAATGAATTTATAGAGTTTTTGCAATTTTATGCCTTACCATGATAGAGAAAAATCAAGTGTATATATAGCGTAACCTAAGAGTTCGTTGACACACAGATAAAAAATTTATAAGAAATATTTTATTCAATGTCATATAGGGAACATTGGTACATTATAAAAGCATAAGGCATATCTCTGCCCCCCAAAGTCAAGATTTTTATTTTGTTACATTGTATGGTATGCGTTAACATAAATGTTATTTGGTAATTGTATATAACACATCCAAAATTAAAACAACCATACCCTTCATAATTAGATATTTCTAAATCTGAATTTGTCATTCATGTAAATATTTATTTATATATGTTATATACCTATATAACAAAATAAAAGAATTTCAGTGATAAATAGCACACTTTTGATTGATTGATTAGGTAGCCCTGCTTATATCAGTGAGATCTTTTCTTGATTAACCTGTTTTTATCTGGTCTGATTGGGCAACTTGTCTCTCCTCTGCAGATCTGCACAGTGACTGGGTAACTCTTCTGAGTGTTTGTGATCCTCTTTGAATCACTGGAGTAGTAAGAGTATTTTCTTCCAATGTTATCACAAAGAGGTACTAAAACAAAAGCTAGCATGAGTCTCCTTCTGCCATGTTTGTTGACACACTATTAACGAATGGAAATCATAGTTGAGCCCAAAATGAATAGTTGAGTCATTAACAGGATCAAGTGTATCTACCTATTATGAAATTGAAAGGTTGTGTGGCATAGTGTATATGGAGGAAGACAAAAGAATTGTACTCAATATTTCAATATATCTGTTATTGATAATTTTTCAATGGGAAAAGTATCTTTCTGTGTTCCAGAAAAATATAGTTGTGCTAGGTCTATGAATGTTTTCCATAAATTGATGAGCCATTGATTTGGTGAAAATAAATGACTGTCTTAGTCACATGCTGATCATGGTTGATTTTCCATAGGAAAGTCAAAGTCTTGGAAGAATTTTTATATTACATGATTCCAATCTAACAGCAGCCTGTAAACTAGTTTCCTGATGTCTCCTTAATTGTAAGCCATTCATTTTCAAATAAAAAAAATAGAAATTTCTTTACTTTAAAGCTTTACTAGCAAACTGTATAACCTAACCTACTTATCCAATAAATAATACATAACATTTACAACATGTCAACAAACTATAGGATTATATAACTTATCTTTCACAGGTCTGTCAATCTGATGTCATGCACAACTCATTAAATGTTCTAACGAATATTGCACAATATTAATAAAATCATTTTGAATACAGAGGAAAAATGTATCTGTGGATGTGAACACAGTATAAAATGAACTATGTTTGACATATTATTTAAGTTCTTATATTTAAAATTTTAATTTTTTTAAAAAATACAGGTGATAGTTATATGGTACATTATAATTTAAGAACTCTATTAAGCCTTTTGTCATGCTGGAGAAAATAAAACTCTAAAGAAAAATACCTGGATAGTTACAATCTCTAGATAGTTTAATTTTGAAAATGCCGATGAATGAATGGATATTTGATTCTACAAATGTGACAGAAGAATTCTTCAAAAAATTAGAGATTATCATTTAAAACTGCATATATACATTGTAAATAACAAAGAATATGACTTTTCAAATATATGTGATTTCCTTGTATGTTCTAAAAAGTAATGGTGATGGGTTATTTGTTTCTAGGTATCAATTACTTATCTCAAATTCTCTGTGATCTGGATAGGTGCACCTTTTGGTTTTGTTTTCACAGCCTATGACAAGAAACCTGGTGAAAATATTCACCAGACTAAAGGGTGAACACACAGAATTAGTAGTCACTTAGTGGAGGAATGATATTTATGATGAATGTACAACACATCAAATAAATATAAAATTTCACTTCAGGCTTAGTCATTAACAAAAGCAAATGTCATCATCTTTTTTTTTTTTTTGAAGTCAAAATCCTATAGCCTACAATAAATTATTTTAATGTGGAAAATTCACTGTTTTTGATATATTGTGTTGTGCAATTCATACCTCTGCCTAATTCCAAACTACTTTGTTTTTCACCTGAAAGGAAAAGGCTATACACCTTGAGTAGCATCCTGTACCCATTAGTAGACCCACAGTCACTATAGCCTTCCTATCACCAAAGTCGATTTGGGGCCCCGAGATGTCTGTAGTTACCCAGGGGTTGTATGCAACAGAACACAAATCTATTCCACCAGAGTTTTAGATGTCCATCTGATGCTGGGAAAGGTCTAAGAGAGTGCCATTGATAGATTGCAGCCAGAGATGTGTGTCCCAGGGTTTTCCCCAACCATTAGTTTTTACTACAGTGGGCCTAGTACTTGATTACAAAGAAAAGACCTCCACTCACTTTACTCTCCTTCCCCCAAGGATATACTTCTCTCTCCTTGATGTACCTTCTGGGATTCCAGGTAGGGGTGACAGATTTCAGCTGGCCACCTAGCAGGTCTACATGTTCTATCCTGAGAGAGTAGCCTGGAGTCAGAAAACATGGTCTTCTGACCACTTCTAAGTTTTAAGCTGGACCTAGTGCTGAGGTAAAGTACCTCACACACTCCCTTTACTTCCCTAAATTGTACTGTGCCTTTCTCCATACCAC